TTCGGTGCTCAGTTCACATGCAGCAGTTGAGCCACACTCAAGCTCAAGTTTAGTTTATATAAGGAGGTTTTCTATACAAGGCAACATTGCACAAACCGCATGCTTATCTGTTTTCTGAACATCAGAAAATCTACACGGTATCAGCAGTTTCACAGACATGTTGCAGGTCAGTGCTTCATCTCAGCCTCATTTCAGTAATTAATTAGTATAAACCAAGATATGATGTTGTTATCTAAACTAGTGTACACGAGAAAGATTATAAAAAGATTACAATATGCGAACGTCCTGCAGCAAGCATTCGGTGGAAAAAAAACCCAGCATGTGTGCATGTTTACACACACAGAGAAAAGAAAAACAGTCGAGCGATGAGAAAAGATATACTATAAACAGAGAAATACAGGGTTGTTACAAAGAAAGATGGTTCTTAGAAAGGAAAATATACAGAGAGACATGTTTTATATGCTTGTTGAACAGCACAGTGGAGAGAGCTGATGATAAAATCTGAATATTCCTGCTAACAGTTTGAAGCACATAATTCGTAATGTTTCACTCTTCCTGGTAAGGTAAAGCGAATACGTTCAGCTATCAGTTGCACCTCAGTAATCGCTGTTGTTTGGATGTTTTTGATGATTTATGATCAGTAGGGGTAGTGTCATGATACTACTTCACCAGGTATTTGGCAATAACTATATTGATGACAATATGCCAAAATACTGAAGATATTTTATTTATATCAGCAACAGAAAAAACTACATTTGGTCAGTTTAGACCACACAGGGTGCACTCTCACATGATTTATGGCTCTTAACTGGATATTTGAAATAGTGAAATAAGTTGTTGTTGCCTCTTTTTGCTGTTACCGCCTTACACTGTTTACATGTTACTGTGGTTTATTTTAGATCTGACAAATCAAACCAACAGAATCAGTTTTATTAAACCAACTCCTTCGCAGCAGAGCCGCGACGTCATGACGAAGTATCTGTAATATGGTGATATGATAACAATGACACACATATTTAATCTTTAACTGTTTAAGGTTTAAGTTTATTCTGCATTTTTTAAATTATTTTAACTTCACACAATCACTTGTGAACTAGATTTATTTCTTTTCAACTTTTTCAGCTGGAGACTTGGACTTTTAGAGGATAAGTCTGGTCATATTTATTATATATTATTTACTATATTGTCATTAAATGCTAACAATGACTGTATCTACGTTTAAGTACTAATATAGATATATCTCCTTCCACTGTGCCATAAAGTTCCATATTTGTCCAAAAACTATTCAAAACAATGAGCCTCACTGTTCCACTGAACACACACTGTAGTTGATTAATGTCCTGCTGCCCCGAATACTCACTGGTCGGGACCCTCAATAGGGGTCGCCAAAGCTTCACAGCGGGGTCAGGAGGCCTTTTTGAACTCAAGAGATGTAAGAAAACTTATTTTTGTTATTTTTAAAGATTATTTTGAACACAAGCTATGTTTACTGTTTGATAAACAGCCTCCTCCTGCATTAGAAAAGTTTGCAGGTAAAACAACCAAAGAGCTGATAGAACAATGAAAATAAAAGCCAATTAAGTCTGTATTATTGTTACAGATACATTGAATAAATGCATAATACAGACAGAGAACTGCATAAGTAATTCTCAATAATGCTCAAATTTCATTAAAATCACTCGTTTTACACAAACTTCCTGTAGTTATTGTGTTCTTATTGTACAGTTTATTAGTTGTTCTTTACTGTTATTGAATAAAATACGTAATATCCATAAAATATGTTACTTACTTACTTATGTCAGTTTACTTATTGATAGAAAAAGAAGTCCCTTAAGGAAAAAGTTTGGAACTCACTGCACTAGAGCACCAAATGTTGATTAATCCGCCACGGAAAATAGTCCCCAACAAATGCTCTATTTCCTGCTCTTTCTTTGTTAAAAACTGCAGTGAGCAGCTGTTTTAGAAAACTAAACTTCTGTTATAGACTAAACTGAATAAAGCCTAAAAAAAGGAAATAAATAGAATAATTAGGTTGATCTTTTAAATGTGTTTTTTTATGTGAAAATGATAAAGTTTGTCTTCATGATACGTATTCATCACAAAAACAAGAGATACAGATTCAGAAGACAACCTGACCGGACTGACTTTTACAACAGTAAGAAATAAGAGACCCAGACGGGTGTGTGGCATGAGTCGTGGCTACAGTGTGGACGAAATAATGGGTCCGGATATTCCCGTAAACCTGGATGTTACTTGCTTATTTAAAGCTCAGCATAAAGCAAAGGGTCCAGGAATGCAGCCGTGACTACAAGCAATAACTGGGAAGGTCAGAAAGTAAGCTCCGTGGCATCACACAGGACGCCTCGGGGGCGACGGGAAGGTCCAAACGTACATATACGCACTAAACACAGACGGAAAACACAGGTCCACTGCCCTGGGAAAAGACTACGGGTGGTGTTTTTTTAATTTCTACAAGCACCTGCAACATTCACAGGGTTAAATGTTCATCTGTGTCATTCTGCTTCATAATCCTCGAAGGACTCGGCTGCAAATTCCTTCAGTTTGCCTTCATCTTGTGAGCAAGCAGATATGGGAACAGACGAGGGCGGATTAGAGAGCAGAGAGCAGAGAGACTAGGAACTGAACCCCATAACTCAGCTGCAGGAGAGTTTAAGCCAGTGTCTCGCCACAAATCCACACAACAGAAAGATAGCATCCACGTATCGGATACTGTACTGCGTCCACGTATCGGACACTGTACTGTACTTAGAGGAACTTTTCGAGGAACCTTTTCAAGAACTCAGGTGCTCTTGACATCACCACGCCCCTGAACTCTTTCTTTTAAAGGGTTAATCCACCTGAATGATCAAATAAAAACCTCCTGGTATGAAGATAGTGTTGTGTTGTTTTCATGTTCCAGGTTTTGTGTGACAAATTAGAGAAAAACAACCTAAGTTAAGTGTCTTAGTAAGGTTATTAAAGTGTGCTCCAGTGTGTGACATTTAGGAGGA